CTTTTCTTTAGTGCCACTAGCTGTTTATTAGTGTCTTCTCTAGACTCACAGATCATTTCATTATGGTCATTATGTAATCAGTTATATCTTATTTAAATTTACCAAGCACCTTATAGAACTATTTTACCTCCATTGGTACCTTTTCAGACCTATCTGCTCTGTAGCTTATGATTTCCTCCCCCTCAATTCCTCTGTACCAATTTTGGGGGACTTGGGAGTTTCTGGATACATTTTGTTGCCTTGTCTTTTCATGTTTGTTTTTCATTTGCTTTTTGTGGTAGAGTTTGCAAATTCTTTGGCCCAGTGCCTTGTTCTTCAGGAGTGAGCCACAGCATTGTTTATGAACCCCCCCAGGCAATTCAGGTATTAGCATTAGAAAGAAAACCAATTGCTGGCCACCACTATATTACCTTGTCTATGGTAGTAAATTCAGCAACAATGACATCCAATGTCAATGGGATAATGACAAACTCTAGGAACCACTCATGAACAGCCTTTCATCAAGAGGACTCTGATTTTAGTGAAGATAATTAGGCACCCTTATATTGATCTATAGTAATTCAGAGCACTGATTTCTGCTAGATGTTGGCAGCAGTGTCAGAGCTCAAACATACCATTAGACAAAATGCCTTCTTCAACACCAGTCCTTCTGATGATCCCTCCCACTGAAACTGGCCTCCCACAACAGAATGAAGACTCCCACGATCTTCCTAGTGTGAGCCTGAGCCTCCCAGGGGATCCTAGGAGATCCCTATTTAGCTCTCACCCTCTCCAAACCTATCTCCCAAGGCTGTCTCTCACCTGGTCTCTGTGGAAGGGTATCCCTTCATTCCTAAAGTGAAACTCTCCTCCTGAGTGTTCGTTTCTTCTTCAATCAGATTGGACTATTGGTTGTCAACTCTGTTGCCGAGTTGTGGAGAACCCAAGGACTGAAGACAAGGTGCCTGGTTCCCAGTGCAGGGGGCCCTGGCAGGCAGCGGTGTCTCCAATTGCATGCTTTATGTCAAAGGTTATACTGATTATTCTGTGCCCTTTGAATTTCCTGATTAAATTTAGAATCAAATTGCCCATTTCTGAAAAAAATGTAGTTGCAATTTTGATAGGGACTGCATGTAATTCACGTATCAATTTGGAAAATATTGCTATCTTAACACTATCAAATGACTAGGTGTGGTGGTATGTGTCTGTAATCCTAGCACCTGGGAGGCTGAGGCAGGAGCACTGCCATGAGTTTGAGGCCAGCATGGGCTACATAGCAAGCTCAAGGACAGCCTGAATTACAGAACAAGACCATCTCCAAAAAAAATTTAATCTTAAAATCTAAGAACACAAGATGCCTTTTCATTTACTTAGTTTTCATTTCTTGCACAATGCTTTGTACCTCTCACGGTGCCACTTTGCACTTTAGGGGGTAAATTTATTCCCAAGAATTTTATTCTTTTTTGAAGCTACTGTAAATGGAATTGTCTGATTTCTTTTTCAAATTGTTCACAGCTAGTATACAGGAATGTACTGGGCTGGAGATGTAGCTTAGTGTTACATCACTTGCCTAGCATGCATACACAAGGCCCTAGATTCAATTCCTAGCTCTGGAGAAAGAAAAAAAAAAAAAGTGCACTGACTTTCATATATTGATTTCATATTTTGGAACCTTGCTAAACTTTTTAGCCCTCAGATACTATGAGGATTCTTTAGGACTTCCTATATATAAGGGATCATGCAAATCCCCCTCCCCAGATACACAGTCTTATTTCCTCCTTTGCAATGTTATCTTTTTTCTTGCTTAACGCGGGCAATACCTCTATTATAATGTTAAACAAAAAGTGTCATCCTCGTCTTATTCCAGATCCAAAAGAAAAAGCTTGCAGTCTTTCCCCTAATAAGTATGTCAGCCTTGAGTTTAAAGATGCCCTTTATCAGATCAAGCAACTCTCCTATGGACTTTTTTTATATCATGAGTGTTGAGTTTTGTCAAGATTTCCGTCTCTTAAGATTACCATGCTGCTCCCTCTTAAAGCTATTAATATGGTGTATTACATGTACACATTATAATATATATTGATTTTTATGTTTACTAACCTTCTTTTCCTGAAATTCTGTTGGTCATGGGGTATAATCTTTTCGGCATGTGGCTGAACTTTCTTTGCTAGCATTTGTTGAGGATTTTTGCATCTATATTTAAGAGGGACATTAGTTTTTACTTTTCTTATAGTATCCGTGGTCTGGCCTTGATATACAATATTTGCTTCACAGAAAGAGTTAGGAAGTGTTCCCTACTGGGTTTTTTTGAAGAGTTTGAGGGTTGGTGTTTTTTCTTTAAATTTTTTTTTTTGTACTGGGGATCAAACTCGGGTCCTTGTGTTTGAGCAGCAGGCGGCAAAACCACTGAGCTAAATCCCTGGCCCTTCTTTACATTATTTCACAGAGGCTAAGTGTGGTAGTGCACACCTACAATCCCAGCACCCGAGAGGCTAAGGCAGGAGGATTGCCCTAAGTTTGATGCCAGCCTAGGCCAATAGTAAGTTCAATGCCAGCCTGGACTATGTAGTTAGACCCTAGCTCAAAAAAAAAAAACAGAAAAAACAAAAAAGAAAAAAAATATAGTTAATACTGTTGTCAGCTGTGGTGACACAGCACTCAGGAGGCAAAGGCAGGATGACTGCCACAAGTTTGAGGTCAGTGTGAGCAACATAGTAAGACGCTGTTTCAAAAAACAAAACAAAATTCATGTAGCTGGGGATTTAGCTCAGTGGTTCTGCTGGCTGCCTCCCAAGTGCAAGGTTCCGAGTTCAATCCCTGGTACAAAAAAAAAAATCTTTTAGAAGTCAAGAGTGAAGTTATCTAGTCCTGAGTTTTTTCCTTTATCGCCTTTCAGATTTTCAACTTAAATCAACTTCTTACATTTGTTAATTTTAGGAATTTGTCCATTTCACCTAGGTTAACTTGTTACAATTGCTGACAGTATTTCCCAACTATTTTTATTTCTCTCAGGTTGGTAGTTATGTTCCCTCTTTCACTCTTGATTTTAGTAATGTAAGTCTTTTTATCAGTTCAAAGTCTTATTAATTTTGATCATTCAACTTTTAGTTTTGATATTCTGAACTGTTTTTCTATATACTTCATATTTTTGTACTAACCTGTACTTTCTTTCTTCTGCTTCTTTTGCGGTTCACCTGTTTCTTCTTTTTCTCTTTGTAAGGTTGGAGCTTACGTTGCTTTGAAATTTATTTTTCTGGTGCAGGGCCTTACATATGCTACCCACATGCTCTCCCACTGAGCTACACCCCCCAGACTCATTCTTCTTAAAAGTGGACATTCAGGGGCCAGGGATTTAGCTCAGTGGTTTCGCCACCTGCTGCGCAAGCGCAAGGACCCGAGTTCGATATCCGGTACCAAAAAAAAAAAGGGCATTCAAAGCTATTATGTTCTGAACTACTTTCACTGCATTTCATAAATTGTTGTATGTTTTTTCATTCCATTCAAATATTTTTAATTTCTCTGTGATTCTCTTTGACCCATTATTCAGGAATATGTTGCTTAATTTGTTCTACTCTGAGTAAATTTTCCCAACTCTTTTCTGTTGTTATTCATTTCTAGTTTCTTTTACTCAGAGAACAGGTTCTGTATGATTTTAATCTTTTTTTTGGTACCAGGGATCGAACTTGGGTCCTTGCCCTGCGCAACAGGCGGTGAAACCATTGAGCTAAACCCCTGGCCCCTGTATGACTTTAATCTTTTTCAATCTTTGAAACTTTTTATGGGGTGGGGTGGGGGTGATAGGGTCTCGCTATGTAGTTAAGGCTGGCCCTGAACTCACAATGTAGCCCAGGCTGGCCTTGTCTTGTGGCAATCCTTCTGCCTCAGCCTCCCAAGAGCTGGGATTATAGGGAGGCTCCACTGTGCCTGGCTATTTGAAGTTTATTGACACTTGGTTTTTGGCTTGATATTCTGTGGAGAATGTCCCATATGCTCTTGAGAAAAACCTATATTCTGCTGTTGGGCTGAATATTCTAGTATATGTTTGTCAAGTTCAATTATTTTACATAGGTGCTCAAGTCCTCTATTTTCTTACTGATTGTTGTTCAGACCATTATTGGAAGTACGGTTTTGAAGCCTCCAGATATTATGGTTGAATTTTTTACTTCTCCCATGAATTCTACATCAAGTATTTTGGGGATATGTCAAGTATGTAAATACCTGTTAACCACCCCCTCCCCCAATCCCATGCTGGGAATTAAACTCAGGGCCTCACACAAGCTAGACAAGTGCTCTACCGCTGAAATACATCCCCAGCCCTGTACCTGTTACATATTGTGTTTTGTTTTCTTGGGGTTTTTTGTGTGTTTGTTTGAGCAGGGTCTCACTATGTAGCTCAGGCTGGCCTTGAACTCATAGCGATCCTCCTGCCTCAGCCTCCCGAGATTGAGGACTACAGTCATGCTGCCACTATGCCTGACCTACATGGATTGAGCTGTATATAAATTGTTGTTTCTAATGAAACAAAATTTTTTTCTTTTGGTACCAGGGATCGAACTCGGGACCTTGTGCTTGCAAGGCAGGAGGCAGAACCACTGAGCTAAATCCCCAGCCCCAAAATTTTTTTCTTAAAATTCTATTTTGTCTGATAATGGTATAGCTACTCAGGCTCCCTTTTGGATGTTTGCATGGAGTGCTTTTTCTAACCTTTACTTCAATCTATTTGACTTTGAATCCAAACTACTGTAAGGCTTAGTTCATAGACAGTAAGGCATTTAGATCAAACTTCTAAATCCATTCTGCCAATCTCACTGGAGATTTACCTCAGTGGTTCTACTGCCTGCCTTGGAAATGCAAGGACCCAAGTTTGATCCCTGATACCAAAAAAAAAAAAAGTTATCGAGACCATTCTGCCAATCTCTCATTTAGATAGCAGCTTTCCTTGAGGCACATTCAAAAAGATCTAGGGCTCTCAAGGTGGATTCTGAAAATTACCAGTTTAAACACATGTAGGAAACTGCTTATGAAAGAAACAAACAACTCGATTTTATTTCTGAATTCTGTCAGCAATCTGCCATGTCACCTAGAACCAGTTTCTTTTTATAATACAAACAAATAAACAAACAAAACTACAATAGACAATGCCAACATTTCAAGCAATTTGAAGCTGAGATACCCACAAAGTTGGAGACTCTCCACCATCCTGTGCTACACCTGCTGTGCTGGTGTGACTCACATGTAGAAGGCACTCACAGCAATGGTGCCAGCCCACCTGTACAAGGCACTGCTGGCCACCTACCCAGAACTCATTTCTTTCTCTGATGGCCTGCTTCGGTCTCTCCTGTTTGCCCTTTCCTCACAGCCAAATCAACTGGTGTATTAAGGTGAACTCATTCTTCTTTCCAGGAATTGCTTTAGAGAGATGGGAATCTTAGCTAGTCTGGGCCAATGAATTACGAAGGAATGTCTTTCTTGGGAGCTTATGGAAAAGGTTTTTTACTCTTAAAGAAGCATAAGGAAGTCTACCTTTCTGTTAAAAGTGCCTTCATGATGCCCGGAAAAACAGTCACTATCCTGAAATCACAAAAGGAATCAATTTGAGGAGAGCATGACAATGACAAAGAAAAGAAAGGAAGGTTCTGAGTCTTTAACATCTCTGAGCTCCTCCTGATTTACCACCTAGAAAACCTGCCCATCGTTGGACTTACTTTAAGAAACAAAACTCCATGGCACACGTTTGTAGTCCCAGCACTGGAGAGGCTGAGCCAGAAGGATCTCTGTAAGTTCAAACAAAGCCTGGGTTACATAGTGAGTTCAAAGCCAGCTTGAACTACATAGTGAGACCCTGTCTCAAGAAAAAAAAAAAGAAAGAAAGAAATCTCCATATAAAGGTAGCCTATATTAGGTTTCCCATTTCAACCAAAAAATTTTCTATAACAGGTTTTTTCTCAATATGATCAAAACAATAACCTTAACTTCTGTATTTTAATATTTTATTCAAAAGTTGTTTTAAACATCTGTAAAACATCAACCCCTCATTACTTTTTTAACATTATAAAACTTCGAGTGGTAGAAGAAACAAAAAATATGTAATGAGACTGATTATAATTCAGCAGTATAGTTATAGGAAAACTAAAAAACCCACCATCACCAAAAAAACCCAACCAACCAACCTATCAGGCATGTCTATGTTTTATTTTCCTTTAGGCAATAGTTCTTGAAAAACAACATTTTCAAAGAGTCAGCCCTTACAAACAGAGATAATCTTTCAAAAAATAAAATCCAGTATCTGGATTCTCAGGACTCACAAAACCAACTCAAATGTCTGGCTGTCAGCTAGTCACATCCCACTCAAACTGCTTCATATCACAAGTGATGATCAGTAGCTAACATCAGTAGGCAAATCCCAATTCCAAGGGTTACTAAAGACTACCATTGTCTTATTGCTGAATTGTACATAATGCATGTTTCTTTGGCAACTTTATCAATTAACACCATGGGATAATTATAATGGATTAGCTTAGCATTTCAAAATTTCATTATAATTATTTCAATGTAACTTCTAACAGATGTTAGAATAGGAAAGCCTCCAAACATGCCTAATGACCAAAAAGATATGCTAAAAAAAATTATCACCACTAAAAGCTTTTTAGTTGTATGTGCAAATATACAATTCAACTCAACTTTATCAAGTGAAAATATTACACTGTTAGCTCTAATTCCTCATCAGATCTTCTGTGATAAAGGACAAAACATAAACGTTGAAACTAACATTGGGATATCTGTCAATTTTTCTGGAAGGTTGTTTCGTATAAATTCAAAATGGCCTAAAATTAACCAGAATTTTATATGAATTCTTACTATATTTCAAAACTTATACTTTAAAATATTAATTTTATCTGTTCCATGGATTAAACCTATTGGAGGCTTATCAAATAACTAAGAAATTTAAGCAGAAGTTCAAGCCCAGAAGTTTAAGAAATCTTTTCTATACATAGCAAAATCACCAACTTCAATGGCTTCCACTAAAAATTATCACTCCAAAACTCATACAAAGTAAATTAAAATGGGTATGGCAGAAAGTGCAATCTGAAGCATGGTCACACAACACAATAAATGATAAAGGTTAGCTAGCAAAAATTCAAATAAGCATATATGTAAACAGTTGTATGCAAATTTTCATGAATAAAAAATTACTCATTTGGATCATTTTATGTACAGCTTGTTTACAATTTAAAACAAGTACAACTGAAAACATTTTAGTAAAAGCCACAATAAAATCAAATGAAACACTAAGTAACAGTCTTACAAACTGGTCTCTCTAAGGAATTTTTTAAAAGAATAGCAGAGTGATACTATTCTAAGAAATGCCCTCTTCCTGATCAATCATTTCTGTTTTAACTGAAAACACATCTGCCAGCATATGTTTTGGAATCTCTGAACCTCGGACTTTCAGGGCATAACAAGCATTCTCCACTTTGGCCAGGCTCTGTTTTAAGGTATACAGCTTCTTAGAAACCTCATAAGGCCCTGTGTTGCCAATGAATGAGAACCCATCATAAACCTGGCGTAAAAACTGGCTGACTTCAAACGGGGTGTCGATGTCCCCATTCCCCACACTGTTAATACACATCCGCATCAATTCTCCAGTTAAATCGGCCACTCCCAGGAGGTAATCAACAGGTGTGACTTTCAGGCTCCATGTGACCAGCTGCTTATCCTGTGTGTCAGAGGAGGGCTGGTATAAAACAAAAGCCAGACACACACACAAAAGAAAACATACTGTGAAAAAGTGAATACAGGAGGTACCACATTATGATAAAGTATAAAATCAAGAGCAGGTCAGTATTCTGCTCAACGTAAAACAATCTATTTTGCTTTTAAATCTTCTGTGATCCTGTTAAGAAGAACCAGTTCATGTCTTAGATAGGGAGCTGAAGCAGATGACTTAAAGATATTTTTTAATACTGCCGTCATAAAACTGTTTCCAACTTCACTTGACTAACTAAAAACATTCTTAAATAGGTCTAATGACTGCTGCACGACAAATGCTATTTAAATGACAACTATGTGCAAGGTCTCAAATTCGATCCCTAGTACCAAAAAACAAACAAAAAATAAATGACAACTATAAAGCCCTCCAAGTTTGTGATCCATTTATGCCTTCCTAAACCATTTAGTCCCTCTCTGCCTTCTCTACTCAGCACTGACCATTGCAATTTATTACTCTCTCTACTACATCCTCAATTCCCTAAGAGTCCTCTATTCACTACTGTACCTGCCCTGCAAAAACAGAATCTTGCCTGGTGTGGTGATGCACTTCTGTAATCCCAGCACTCAGGAGGCTGAGGCAGGAGGATCACCTTGAGTTCAAGGCCAGCCTGGACTACATAGTGAGTTCAAACCCAGCCTAGAATATACAGCAAGACCCTTTCTCAAAAAACAACAGCAACAAGGGCCAGGGATGTAGCTCAATGGCGCCACACCTGCCTGGCAAGTGAAAGGTCCTGAGTTCAACCCCCGGTTCTGCCAAAAAACAAAAGCAACAACAACAAAAAAACCAGACTCTTCAATGAATACTAAAATTAACTTATTAGTCCTTTATTTAAGTGACTGAATAGAACTTAGTTAAAAAACAATTAAAACTATGTGGCAGTTGTACTGATGCAAATTATCCATGAGTCCTTTTAGTCTTTAGCGGTTTTCTTTATAGCCTCTTCAAACACTATTCCAAAACATTACCATTCTCCTCAGGCTTTTCCTACCCAAACCTGTTCAGTGTCAGCAGACAATCTTGCCTAATTTCTTAGACCCCATCATTTGCCAGACCATCTGACACAATCTCTCTCAACTATCTTTAACGCTACCCAAAAGAACCATACTTATATCCACATCTGTCTTTACCTCCTATCATCCAGTCCTAGATCATGAACTGTCCCTCTTCTTGTTTGAGGCTAACTCTTCCAAATAACCTTGACCCATCTCCCACTCTTCTAGGACCTTCCTTCATTGGGTATATGCCTTTGGGCAAATTATTTCATCTCTCTAAACCTCAGTTTCCTCATCTATAAAATAGGATACCAGTATCTGCCTCTGGGGTTTATTTATAGATTGGCATAATGCCCAACACAATTCAATAAATGTTAGCTATTGTCTATATCATATTAACTCTTACGTCTCTACATCAATTTCTCTCTTCTCCCTGGGTTCCTTTTAGAGAGGAGATGCTTAAATTGATATGTCAAGCAGCAAAAAAACTGAAAAGGTGTGCAAGTCAGAACTGTGTAATATATTTGAAGATATAATGAAGTATTTCTTTTAAGTAAAGGTCAAAGTAAGGAGTTGTAAAGGTTGAGACTAGGAAAACAGAACCAAATGTCACACACAATAAGAAATTTGAACTTTACTTATTGTTTTTTGTTTTTTCTTATTTTTTTTTTGGTACCGGGGATTGAACTCAGGTCCTCGCACTTGCGCAGCAGGCAGCAAAACCACTGAGCTAAATCCCCAGCTTTACTTATTGTTAATGAAGAGTTGAGTAAGGAAATGGTAGCTGAATTTTGGTTGTATTAAATCACTCTGGTTGCTGTGCATCCAATACACGAATCTTGAGATTGCTTGAACTCTTCAGAACCATCTGGTCCAGTGCCCTCATCAAGAGCATAGGAAATGAGGTCCAAAAAACAGTACAGGTTAAGATGGCTGCTAAAGGGCCGGGGATTTAGCTCAGTGGTTCCACCGCCTGCCTTGCAAGTGCAAGGTCCCAAGTTCAATCCCTGGAACAACAAAAAAAAAAAGATAGCTGCTAAAAAGCAACAATGGGTGGGTATCTAAGGCCTCATTCCCAATCATTCTGATACTTTAAAAATTGTAATATAAAAGTACCTGCTATGTTTTGTTTCTATTAATTATCAGAGAATTGGTATTTTTCAGAAAAGGTAGATTGTGATTGACTGTGGGTTAGGAGAGGTGCATTTCATGGGCCATTTATAAAAACAAACTTTGATTAAGCAAGTATTAACATTCTTTGTTACATCTGAAAAAGTTCCACTGTTACAAGCTTTTAAAGAAGGAAACATGAAAAAAATTAACAAATTTCAACTAATAAATTATCTAAATTATTAGTAAAGAGCCAGGCGTGGTGGTGCACACCTGTGATCCTAGCACTTGGGAAGCTGAAGCAGGAGGACCACCGCAAATTTGAAGCCAGCCTAGGCTACATAGTGAGTTCAAGGCCAGCCTGAACTACATAGTGAGACCCTGTCTCAAAAAATCAAAAAGAAAAAGAAAGAAATTTACTTAAACTACAATTTTTCAAGATGGACACTGAAGTTGTTAAGGGTAAAATATCATGACATTGTTAAATTCATGGTTTATCCAAAAATACTTAGACAAAGTAAGTACAGCAAAATGTTTAACAATTATTAAATTCCTATAGTGGGCATATGGGCATTCACTGTGCTTCTTTTCTTTACTTTTCTGTATGTTTGAAATTTTTCATAATAAAAATTTTTAGTTAAATTTAATGGTTTTGACAATAGTCTCAATAGGCAAGTCAGAGTGAATAAAGTGCTTTTTTTCCCCTATCAAAAATATTAAGGAATTTTACTTCTCAGAATGAATTTCATCCTTAATAAACTTCATACAATTTGAAAACTTGAGAGAGTACTTGACTTCTTTAAAGTAAGTTATATCTATTATGCTAAATTAGTCTTTTTATAATACGCTAACATTTTTTTTTTGGTACCAGGGATCGAACTTGGGTCCTTGCGCTTGCACAGCAGGTGGTGAAACCACTGAACTAAATCCCGAGCCCAATATGCTAACATTTTAGTTGATATTAAAGATATTTTTATTACTGCAGCTTCTTCCATCTTCTGCCTACCTACCCCGACTCTCTGAGTGGTACTAAATACCATTCAAATAACAGGTAGTGGTGCATGCCTATAATCCCAGTCCTCAGAAGGTTAAGGCAGGAGAATCACAAGTTCAAGGCCAGCCTGGGCTACACAGTGAATTCAAGGCTACACTGAAATTCTGGCTCAATAACCAATAATAATAGTAGAAAAAAATAAAGAAAGAAAAAATACATTAATTTTATCTTGAAGTATTACTGTATCTTACAAGGTATCAAACATCCCCAGTACTTGGGAAAAAAAAAAAAATCAATGCCCCCACTCTGTTGTCTGAATGTTATTACCTTGAAATTCAAAAGGAAAAAAATAGTATTTATCTAAAAGTGAATCTGCAAATGTTTCTCTTTTCTTAATTCAGAAGAGCTATGTAAATTTCAGATACAAGCATTATGATCTGAGTAAGTGCTTAATAGCTTTCACTATGTGAGATATACTCTGTAATAACTACTGAGGGCACTTAGGTGTCAAGTGTATACCTTGTCAAATTGTAAACCGCTAAGTCAAATCCTTTCAAATACCCTTGTGAGGTAGGCACCTACTGCAAAGGACCCTTCTAACATACTTGAGAAGCACCAGCAGGGTGGAAAAGGCCACAGGCTCCAACTCAAAATGCCCAGTTTCAAACCTTGGCTCTGCATACTGAGTCATATGGCTTTTGGTCAGTTATTCTCTACAAGCCCACTTTTCTCTCTGTAAAGTAGGATGGTGATTCTTATCTCACAAGGTTAATAAAATAAAATGATAGTGCTTATAATGCTTTTAGGTAAAAGAATACTACTTTCCTCAACATACTTCTAGTTGCTCTTTTTCTATCCCTAACTAAAATATTTTAAAAGACCATTTCCCTAGTTAAGAATCTGAAACCAGGGCCGGGCCGGGGATTTAGCTCAGTGGTTTCGCCGCCTGCTGCACAAGCGCAAGGACCTGAGTTCGATCCCCAGTACCAAAAAAAAAAAGAATCTGAAACCACATGTTAAAAAGAACATTCCCACCCTCCCCCCAAAAAACCCTTTGTAAGAACATTCCCAACTCAATATTCTTAATACTTTTTTTTTTCGTGGTACTGGGGATCGAACTCAGGACCTTGTGCTTTCAGGCAGGCATGGTGCCATGAGCTAAATCCCCAGCCCAAGCCAAATCCCCAGTCCTCTTAATACTTTAAAGCAGTAAACTTCCTACAATCATTATGCTGTTATATAAATTACATAATAAATGTGAAATATGATTTTAAATTCTCACGGTCTTGTTTTCTTTTCCATTGTCCTCTGTTGTAAATATCAACTGTTTATTAATTTCATCCATACTGATTAATGACCGTGTTTTGATGAAGTGTTGAAAAGACACAGCTTCCACATATTCCTGCAGTCCTGAAAAACAAAACAAAACACTAAGAATGAGCACTAAATTTACAAGAATATCATAATAAAAATCTTCAAATTGATCATCATCTCAGCCAGAAGAGAGTGATGTGCCCACTACACCCTGTCACCTCCGTCTGTGAGCCAGTCAGTGTTCACACCTGACTGCCTGCCCTGTTCACTGCTGGATCGCTGTGCCCCATGTGTGCCTTGTAACCAACAGGCACAGAAACATGACTGCATGAGAGACATCTTTTTAAAAAAATCTATTAGCAATTAATACAAAGCACAACAGCTACAGTTTCACTGTGGGAAGCTGAAAAGGTTCTGGAGGTAGATGGAGGTCATGACTGCGCAATGTGAACGTACTTAATGCTGAAGAACGTACAATTAAATGGTTAAAATGAAAAATTATATATATTGCTAAGTTTTTATATTATTCAGCAGCACACTGTTGTAGAGGTAAATGACATTCTTGTTTAGTTGCCATATAATTTAATTTCATTAAAATGGATTTTTAAAAATATTCCAGCCAGGTGTGGAGGTACATGTCTATAATCCCAGCACTTGGGAGGCTAAAGCAGGAGGATCACAAGTTCGAGGCCAGCCTGTGCTACACAGTGAGTTCAAGATCACCCTAGACTACACACCAATACCCTGTCTCAAAAAAACTAAAAAAAAAAAAAAAATTCCAGTAGGAAAAGTAGTTTGGAATATTCCAAATAGGAAAAACACCACTTTGTTTTGTAACTGAGGTCCAGACTTAGAAGTTGGTTGTAATAGTTGCTTTTATTAACTCAAATTTAAACTATATTCACTGCTGGGCGTGTTGGAACACACCTGTAATCCCAGCACTCCTGAGGCTCAGGCAGGAGGATCACCATGATCTCCAGACCAGCCTGGGCTGTCCAATAAGCTCAAGGCCACCTGAACCACATAGCAAGACCCTATCTCAAGAAACCAAAACCAGGAAAGAAAAAAACTATTTTCCATGCTTTGATTTGACTCACGTAGAAAAAACAACTTTGTACAAGTAATGAATTTTGGACAATTTTTTTACCTTGATAAAGGAATGATATTTTACCATCTGTTATCCTCTAATTATCATCGTTGTTAAATATCATCCATTTAGAAATTTGGAGTAGTTTTTAAATTACCAGTTTGCTTTTTGAATGAATCATTATTTTTTTATTCCTCTCTTTCTCCCATTGCTGAACTTTGACATTTATATTAAACCAAGGAAGGTCCCTGGGATGCTATCCTTACATATCAGAGAGGATCCAGGAAAACTGGAGTTTCAGTCTTGCATTGAACAGTATTAAACTTAGATAGTTTTTTTCCCCCCATACTTGTCTTTGTAAGCAAAACAGTGCAATAGAGCAAGTAGTATTTGTTCCCAATAAAATCAACTATGCCACTCTGCATAGAAAGCAGATATGCTTAGAATTCTTTTGATTTTTTTTCTCAGTACTGGGGATCCAACTCAAGACCTTGCATTTGACAGGCAGGTGCAGCACCACTGAGCTACATACCTGGCTCCTTTTGATTTTTTTGTTTTTTGGCACTGGGGATCGAACTCAGGACCTTGCACTTGGGAGGAAGGCATGGTGCCACTGAACTAAATCCCTGGCCCCTCCTTTTGATTTTTAAAATTATCACAAAAGTTCATCTTCTTTACTTTTTGCCCAGTTTTTTAAATTATGGTAAAATAAACAAAATTTATCTTAACTAATTTTGTTTTTGTTTTTGAGACAGGGTCTCACTATATAATTCAGGATGGATTTGGGCTTACTACATAGCCTAGGCTGGCCTTGAACTTGCAGCAATCCTCGTACCTCAGCCTCCTAAGTGCTGGGATTACATGTGTGTTCCACCATGCCTGGCTTATCTTAACTATTTTTAATTGTATAGTTCACTAGTTACAATAAACACATTCATAATGTTATATGACCACCATCATCAACCATCTCCAAAAATGTTTTCATGTTCCAAAATTGAAATTCTATATCTTATATTAAACAATAACTCCTCATGTTTTTCTCCCTTAGCTGCTATAGCAACCACCATTCTTGCTGTCTCTATGATGGTCATATTGAGGGAATCACATAGTATTTATTCTTTTGTGGCTAGATTATTTAATTTAGCATAATATCTTCAAACTTTATCCATGTTACAGTATATGTATCAGAATTTCCTTCCATTTTAAGGCTAGTTAAATACTCCATTGTATATACAGGGCCACATTTTGTTTATCAATTCAACAGATGGATACTAGGTCACTTCCACCTTTTGGTTCTTGTGAATAACACTGCTATGAACATCAATATACAAATAACTATTCAAGTCCTTGCTGTTAATTATTTGGAGTTTTCATCCAGAAACCTCAAATAAAACTTTAAAACAATAACTGTCTTAAATATTAATTATATGTAAAATGATGTATATCTATCTTATGCTCATTATAACTTTATACATCTATGTTACTGTCCTTAATGAATAAACAAATTGAGGCTCAAAAAAATTAGGAAATTCACCCAGGTCACACAGTAAACAGTGAAAAAATTTTTCTATAATTCAAAAGTGCACACCCTTCCCATTTATCTTACCTGCTTCTTTACATTCAATTCTATGTAAGACATACCTATATTTTTCTCACCTTTTTGTCTCTAAATTCCCAGTACAGCTTTTCTCCAATGGTTTAACATTTCTTTTCTAGTCCCTTAAACATAGTTTCATGATTTCATGCTATTCTGTGCCTATGAGGCTCTCCCTCAGACTTCTGCCTATAAAGTTTATATGTTCTGATACACCTCAATCAAGGCAGCACCCACTTTTTATTCCCACTACATAAAATGTGCACCATAAATAAACGTTCCAGCTGGCTCTCCATTATAAACAGCTACCTCATCACCAATTCTTCACCCCAGAACACTGAGAGCAAGGACCACACCTTGATGGCTTGGTTCCTTGCCTCATCCCAAAAGACAGGACTATTGTGTAGAAAAGATGCAGAGGTTAAATATACTGCTTCTAATTATCTCTCACTATTCCTACTCATGAGTTTTATGAAACCTTAAGCCCCAATATTTTAAAATTTGGCATTCAAATATTCAAAAGTATCTGGTTGAGTCCAGAAGTAATAGTTGTACAAGATCAGAGTTTAAGCCAGGCATCATTAGCACACACCTAGAATCCCAGCTCTATGGGAGGCTGAGCCAGGAAGATCAAGTTCAAGGCCAGCCTTAGCCACTCAGCAACTTAGTGAGACCCTGTCTCAAAACAGGGCTGGGGATGTAACTCTGTGCAACAGCCCTGGGTTCAATCCCCAGTACTGTGCCCCACCCCTTAACCTGCCAAAAAAGAATTAAGAGTCAAAATGATGAAGGTCAGAATTAGAAGTCCTGGTTTATTTGCAGGAAAAAATATAATAGAGAATAAGTGCCCTCAAATTTATCTGTGGTGTCAGTAACTATTAAATGTGGTGGCTGCCAGATAATAAATTTCCAAGTACATCATATGTAGATTGTTCTCAGGATGTGTTTGATAAAAGTTACTTTGGAGATGAGGTGGTCAATTCTGCTCCACAGAAAGCAGGTTTCAGGCTGTATCACTCAGAGTGTTCAAGGACACCTGGCCCAAAATACTGAAAAGCATCTTTGGTCACATGTAGGTAAAAGGATGTTTAAACAAGCTATGTTTCAACTTGATAAAGAGGACATCCGTTACTTCAATGTATAATCCCCAAGGTGAAAATTTTCAACCTAATGCCATATTCCATCAAACAATGCCTTCCCCTCTGCCATCATCTTGGAGGAAATCCAATGAGAATTATTTACAGAATCAGCTTCCAGTAAGAGAGAAGTTTGTAGGTTGCTTTTATGTAATTTGTTATTCTTCTTCCTATTCTATAGAACACATACAGGGAAACCCAATTAAAGGCTTCTATTTTTACTTATTTTTCTAATACTTAAGCACTATACATCCAGTCCTATTCATCAAAAAGCACAAAGATAAACAGGTAAGACAAAGGTTTCACTATAAACTCAAAACTCACATGTCTCAACCATCTTCGCATGCTTTTAATGTGTTTTTAGAAAACTTGTTATCACATAACTCAGTGGTATATACCCAAGGTATATAACCTAGAGAAGTGAAAATGCAGCGTGATCAAAAATTACAATGAATGTTTAGACCTTTTTTTTGTTGTTAAATTTGTTACAATAAATATTAATTCCCCTCGATATATTCCTCCTTTCTTTGAACACATTTATTACACTGTTCTTGCCATTTTCTGAATCAGTTCTGGAAGTCCTCTTTCATATCATGGCTCCCTAAGTATCCCGAATCAATTCAAAATGTTGGGCTAGGGATTTAGCTCAGTGGTTCTGGAGCCTGCCTCGCAGCCCCAAGGTCCTGAGTTCGATCCCCAGTACCAAAAAAAAAAAAAGTTTAACATTCATAGTCATTTTGACTTTGGGGAAAGAAAATGTATGGTGCCTGATTCTGTGAATAAGGTGGGTGACAACACATCCACAATATTTTTTTTTTTTGGGTATTGGGGATCGAACTCGGGTCCCTGTGCTTGCACAGCAGGCAGTGAACCCACTGAGCTAAATCCCCGGCCCTACACCCACAATATTTTATGAGCCTGCCTTTCCATTAAATCTCACATACCAGCAGCATTCAGTGTGTTTTTTATCACATGTAATAAACACATGGAAGACTTCTAGAACTGCTTCAGAAAGTGGCAAGAATGAAGGGATAATTGTATTCAAAGCAAGAGGGGTGTTATTTTGAGGGGCATTAATGTCAATGTGTCTTTTGCTGTACAAATTTTAAAAATTTTAACATTCACTATATATTTTGATCAAAGACTTACACACAAATGTTATTCAGTTTGTTTTTTTTGTTTTTGGGGGGGTACCAGGGATCGAACTCAGGACCTTGAGCTTGTGAGGCAGGCACCGGAACCACTGAGCTAAATCCCCAGCCCACACACAAATGTTAGT